ATAATAGCATTGCAAAGTCAAACCAAAGTGACAGCAACAGACATTCTGCTTGAGACGCCATAATGCCTCATTTACAATACTCTCACTGTCGCACACAATACTTAGCATTTCCCACACTTTGCTACCAAGTCAAGCATGCAACAAAGTCCCTTCAAAAATAATAAATAATTATTTACCGAGAACAAAAAAATCTAGTAATTCTTTTTCACATAATGAATAATGATTTGCTCCAATTTTGATTGGTGATCTATGAAGAAAATGAGTTTTACTTGAAAAAACATCCATTATGACTCCTCAAACAAAAGATGTCTACTCCTATCACCTAGATTTTGCCTCCTAATGCTATTATAGGGGGTAGGGAGCCATCTTGCACAATGGGAGTACTTAGCCAATCACCCACCCCCCCCAAACCTCAGCTATGACATGGGGCACTATTGGGCAAGTGATCTACATGCCAAAGTTGTGCCAACGAACTAAGGGGCTAACACTATCTTCCATTGGTATCAAAATCACTGAGGGCGTTTTTCAAGCTTTATGGGCTTATTATGATAATTAGAATGTGCTAGAAACCCTAGTCTTAGAAATGTTTGCCATGTTTGAATAGCCAAAACATGTTTTTGAGTTAATAGCACCTTGTCAGAACCATGTCCTTCTGGCTTGATTATAGTATAGGTTACTACATATCAAGGTTTTAAAAATCGGGATCGTACCTTGGATCAAAGGGAAAGGCTAAAGGATTAGGATCATGGGATCGGATCAAAGAAAAAATGGTTTAAAAATATACGTAAGAATATAGAATTCTTAAAATTGGAAATAAAATAAACCTACAATAAATACAAAATCTTTAAATATTATGACAAACAAATAGAACTTAGAGAAATGATTAAACTTAAGAAACTAAAATTTGGGTATTAAAGAAGGTAGAACATCACAGATGTGCTGTTAATCTTGTGGGATTTTATGAAGAGGAATAGGAGAATTCTAATGTTTTGATCTTACCCTCAAGAGAGAGTCGAAGACACAGCAAAAGTCGAGAAAGTCTAAGATTGTTGAATAAACAATTTGACTACTCGACATCTAACAAAAAAGAACCCGAGGATGAAAATGAAAGATATACCCAATAGTGATCAGTTGTCCAAGAGAAGTTAACAAACCTAACTTATACTTTTGATTTCTCAACAAGAGAGATCAATGAATGAAAAGAGCTTTTTATAACTTTTCTCACTGGCCAAAATCTAATAAATTGACTATGTTAGCTCACCGATCAATCACATATAGACTAAGTTTTTAAGAATTAAAGCAAGAAATGTGGATTGTGTTAGCTCAACAACTAAAGACGATTCACAAATCAACATAATAACTTCATCCGTGAAATCTCAATTGGTATCGAGATCCTACGATCCTACACAATTCGGGTGTTGCCCCATTAAGATTCAAAGAACCAATCATCTTTCAAAAGAGTAGGATCAATTTTTTTTAGTAGAGCATAGGATCATAGGATCCAATGGTTAGAATTGAGATTTTGATAACAATGCTACATGTGGGTGGCTATATCTACAAAATTCGATGCAAAGACTCCTTGCCGTGTGAGAGAAGAATCATACCAGAATTTGGAATGACAAAATTTTGGTTCCTTGTCTCTCACTCGTTGTTTTTCGAGTTGTGGAACTTATATGATTAGAATTATAGTCAGATAAGCCCTCCACCGATGTATTATTTGTTTTTTCTTAAAGAAGAAGAGTTTGAAAAAAGTAAGAAAAAGTTAGACGGGTGGAAAGGAGCTTTTAGATTAGTCGGTTTTGTCTAGTTTCTAAATCTAAAGCTAAAGGTTATCTTTCGGATAGAAAATTGACAGAAAGAAGTGTCATTAGTTAAGAAATGATTGTCGAAATTTTCATTGGAATAAAATTCTTTGACATTTGTTTATCAAAAGAAAATATGAATTATAAGTAAATGGGCGAGATTCTAATGATTTTGAAAAGGGAAGAGGACGTGTGACTAGGATATTATTCATTAGCTTGCCGGTTTCTAGGTCTTTATCGCATTTCTTGTGCTCATAATGCTTATATTGCTTCTATGAATCGATCAAGTTCTCATTCAATCGCTTGGGAATTTCAAATTTCATGTAAATTTTGATGATGGAGATACCTTGGGTTTGACCTCATTCCTTTCTTTCTTTGCTAATTTTAAATTAAACAATGCATATTCTAGGGTTATTCATTCATGTGAAGTTTCTCTTTTGTCATTGAATGATTGATTAATGTGTCTCCATATCCGGTCTTTTCCTTCTCTAACAATATGAAGGCTAAAGTACCTATTAAGTTGTAAGTTTGTGCATGGACTTTTGCTCACCACAAAATTAATACAATTGATGTACTCCTCAAAGGAAACAACCTCAAGCTTAATTTTTGATATTGTGCCCTGTTATGTGGTGATGTGATATTGAAAGTGTGGATCACCTATTTTGTATTTGCCCTTTAGCATTGTCTTTATGGAGTAAATTAATTAGCTTGGCAAGTTTGAGTTGGGTGATTACTAGTTCCCTTTCTTCTATGTTCGTTGTGGATTTTAAGGGTTTTGGAAAAGCAAAAACAGGGGTACACTTTTGAATTGTGTAGTTCTTGTTATGGTATGGGTAAGGATCAAAATTTCGTGTCGAAACAGTCGAAACGTTTTAATTTTCATGGAGAACAAAACGAATCAGTAATAGAATCGAAATTCTAATATTTTAAGGTGTTTCATAATATTTCAAGGTGTTTTATAATGTTTTAATGCATTTCAACAATTATTTGGAATACAAGGCATTTCAAGATACTTTAATATATTTCAACTAATATTTTAAAAAAATAATTTTTAAATTTTTTATTTTTTTCATTTTGTTTCCAAAACGGGTTGAAACATTTTTAAAATACGCTGCAACGTTTCCGTTTCCGTTTCCGTTTTCTAGGTGGCCGAAATAATACACCGAAACAAAATTTTAATTCTTGGGTATAGGTATTAATTAGAAAGGAATGCAAGGATATCTTTTATAATATAAAACAAGGTAGGCTTCAATAAATCTATCAGACGGCCTCAAATAGACTCATCCAACGACCACCAATATCCTTTTCAAAACCATTCACATTGCACCGTGCCTTCATACACTGGTTACCCATACTTTGAAGATAAATTCAAAGCCATGGAAGGCCTATGGGATTGGATATGTATTTTGAGATCTTTTTTGGCTTTTGTCACCAAATATTTTAAGGACATTACTCGCTTTTGCAATTTGGTGGGGTGCAAAGTTGCTCATGAATTGTGCGTGTACTAGTCTAGTACACTTTCTTTCCGCTCATGTAATACGTTATCATCCATAAATTATTTGTTTCACATCAGAAAAAAGACTAGCCGAAGAAGGGTGTGTGTTGGTACTAATACAAATTTTTCTAAGCCAAAAGAAATTCTAGAGGGGGATTTGGAATTTTTTTATGGAAAAAGAGATTTAACTGAATCTGTCTGTTATTCTACATCATAGATAACATACAGATCTATGCTTTTATTCTCCTTTACCCTATTTTTTGGAATTAGTGGCACTGATTTGAACTGTTCTAACAAATACTAGCATCCATTCTTCTTTTTCATTTGGCAATCTGATATAAAAACCTTGAAACATTTTGCAGGTATGAATATCTTGAGAGACTATTATTTTTGTACATTGACGCATAGTTATACTTGGCATTAAAACCCGAAAACAACAAGCCAACTTTGTGTTTGTGTTTGTGTTTGTGTTTGTGTTATGCGTGAGATTCACCTAAAACTCCAGGTAAATTATTCAATCTGAAAGATTCTGTTGAGTTCAAACAAAGGGTTAACCATCAGTAATATGCCACTACAATACAACGACACAATATCACCACCACAACCACCAGTGTCACACAACACCTCTACCACCTTCATGACTATTAACTTCTCTTTTGGCATTGTCAAAGTCATCATCACACCATTGGTGATGGAATCAGGGGCAATGATTACACCAGCAATGAATGGTGGTTCAAGCAATTATGTATTTTTCCTAGTTAACAATATTGTGGTGTTTCTAATGTTGGCAATGATAGTGATGGTTTGGTTGGTGAACTCATTCCAATTGTGGATTTTCTAAAATTTAATTCATAGAAGAACTTATACAAGATTTTAGGCCTTCTCCTTCCTTCATCAAGACTTCCACGAGCTTTGGAGTTCCTTCAAATCTTTTTTTTTTTTTGACAAAATTGTTTCAAGCACTGACAAAACCGGGAATTTCACTTGGAAAAAAAAAATGTTCCATACTAATGAATTCAAGACCATAACCACATGGCTATACTATCTTGTCCGACTTTAATTCGTCGTATCTTACATTGTTGCTATCTGACATTCTCAAATTGCATTTGGTGCTACCTCTGCCCTTTCATGTATCACCAATCCTCAATCTTAACATCCTTTCATAGGTAAAGTACTTTGTGAACCCTTTTTTTCCCAGTAGTTTAGGTTCAAGATATGGTCAGAGGATGAAGTGGTCATGGCTGCTAAGGAAGAGGCCGGGTGAAGGAGATGATATGGACCCTGAGGATCGTGGTTGTGGGTGAATATTTGCACAGGGTAGTCAATGCATGAATAATGAATTTGACTCACAAAGCTGATAAAGAGAGTTGGGCAAGTCATCCAACCCCAACTGTAATAGAGAGTAAAAAGAAAAGGCATTAACAGTAGCAGCAAACAAAACTGTAAATATATCTTGCAAACTGTAGAAATCCAAGGAAGGTTGGCTACCCAATAAAATATTTAAACAAAAAACAAAGACCAGAGCAGTACATCAAAGACAACCAATTGCACATGGGCAATTGAACAGAGGGAAAGGATCCAGATCTTATTTATACAAAGTCTCAACTGTTAACTTAGAAATGACTTAATTACAGGTGCCAAGGTTGAAAACCCAACAAGGGGTGCAATTATCATCACTGAAGAAAAGAAAGAAAGAAAGTCATTTAGCTATCCAGAGCAGTGAGAAATACCTGTAGAGCTGCTTGATAAATTAGTCTCTCATCAGTTTCAGCAACCCTATCATCACCTACTCCAGGACGGTATAGTGGATCACTCGAACTGGCATAAGGAGTAGTTGATACATGTCTCCCGTGCATCAGAGATGGAGGAAGTACTGTACTTCCATTGTTTTCATATATAACTAGATCACCATTCCTGCCCCTACCGAAATTTTCTCTCATGTAGTTCTTGCCATTGCCTAAATTTGGCCGCGTGGAATGGTAAGACTTTTCATATGTTTCGCGGATCCGACTGCTTTCCACATTCTCTACTAAATTGCTTGATTTGGCATTAGACCCAGATGGCTGAAGGGATGTCGGAAGTGCCTTCTTCAAAGCTTGTTGAAAGGAATGTTTTTGATAATCTGTACCAAATATACCCGCATTTCTAAAGTCATTAGTCCAGTGAAAATTTTCAATGCCCATAAGTTTAGCTAGCTGCTGACCCACATGACCATCTCCTTAAGAATACTTAGAATTGTCAGCCTACAATGAGTCAATTTAAAGCTATCACGTTATCACTAAAACTTGTGTGCATCTGGCCTTAAGCCTGTTCATGGTGTACAAAATTAAATGAGCTTCCATCCTTTTAAGGAGAAGGAACCTTGTGAGACAGACCACAATAACCGAAAATTAAGTAAAGGTCTACGCATTGATGGTAACAAACCCAAAATTCAGAATGCATTTGCTTCACAAAATACCAATATTTACCCATCGCATTGGTGAAAGGTGCAGGTGACCATGATGGAAGAATCGTGGAATTGGTGGAATTGGCAGATGTAGCAGATTCCCTTGGAGGTGATTCATCCAAGTCTCTATAATCATCCAGATCCCAACTTTCACTATCTGATGAACTAATGTCTATTGGATTCAATGCAGCCATAACAGCTAAATGTTGATTTCCCCTTTCTGCAACCAACTTAGAAGAACTGCCAAACCGAAAAGCAACGTTCAGTTAAACATCATGATCTCAAAATCAATTAAGTAGCAGCATAACCAGAGTATCAGATACATCCAAAACCAAAAGTCTTTACTCACCGGTGATGCGCAATATCTCAAACTAATGCCATCCAGTCCACTAAAAAATAAGCAACCCCTCCGAGTAGATTCGACCAAATTAGGTAAAGCGTCCACATTGTCAGGAATCTAAATAACCTGGATACCCACCTCCTCATGAGAAAAGAGATATCTCTTGAACGTTTCAGGGGGAAAAAAAAAAGGGATATCTACTAGACATGACCCAAATTGTAATGCATATGAACATGCATGGAAAATGTGGACTTAACAGTAACTTTCCTGAAAGCAAAATACACCAGAAATATACAATTCATCAGAACGATTAATTGCCACGAAGAGATCAAAAACTTCAATTCAAAATCAGCACGCTATAGAGAAAATAAAAAACTGAAAACAGCAAAAAAAAAAAAAAATCAAGAAGACAATTTAAAATCTGACCCATATGGGATGCACGAAAGTATAGTTTGTTTATTACAGAAGCCAGCATATGAGAGATTTTGTGTTTCCACACACACAGAGATAAGCATTGGATTGCAAACCTAGTGATTGTTCCCGACAATAGTATTGTATCTATTTATTCTTCCTCTTCTCCGGCTGCTTCTCCCAAATGCCCTATTCGCTCCTCGGACAAGGCAAACAACGGGAACATGACGGCTGACAGAAGGTCCACTGGGGTTTTAATCTCTGCTCAAATTTTGCTTATCTAGCAAAAGACACATGCGCTGCACGTGGAGAGTTTAACAAGATATGGCGTCGAATCGGAGTAATCGGACAGTTTAGGATATATTATAATTTCACCCCCTATAAATCGTTCAAAATACAAGGACACCTTTCTATTTTCAAATATCACTTGTTAGTCTTCCAAAACAAAACAGGTATCTCGACCTTTGACCCTACCCCTATCTTATATATAATAAAGTATAATATAATTTAAATTTTTAAAGATAAATAAAATAACTTTTATTTTTTATGATTAAAATTTTTTTAAATTTTATTTTAAAATTAATCCAACGATAAATATTAACACTTTAAATTTAATAGAAAAAATAGGCACATAAAAATGTATTTAAGGTAACTTTTTAAAAGTACTTCTAAAATTTATAATTTTTCTTAATTACTTTTAAAAAAAAATAATATTTAGAACTACCCTACCACTACCCCCACCGCCCCACCACTGTCACCCCCACCACCCCACCACTGTCACCACCACTACCCCTACCCCCACCACCTCACCAATACTACAACTGTCGCCACCACACCACCATCTTAGTTTCAACAACCACCGTCACCACTACCACACCTGCAGCCCCATCACCACCACTACCACACCCGTCACCCCACCACTATCATCACCATCGTTGTCACCACCATACCATCACCACCACCCCCATTGCCCCACCCCCATCACCACCGTCACCCCACCACCACCTTTTCTACAACAACCATCACCACCATTGTTGCCACCACCACCAGCACCCCACAACTACCCCCACCAGCACCATCCTATCACTGTTTTCCACCACCACAACCGCTGCCCACCATCACTACAACTGTTCACCCCAACTACAATTGGTACTTAAATTTTTTTCTCTCTCATTTATCTTTGTAATTTGATTTTGGGTGTAAATATAAATATATTTATTGTTAACATTTTTTTTATTACTCTGTGCCTAGACACGGGAAATAACTAGTCTATATAATAAAGTACAATACAATTTAAATATCAAAATATAAACAAAATGATTTTTGCTATTTGTGGTTGAGATTTCTGTAAATTTTATTTTAAAGTTAATTTGACGGTTAATATTAAATCTCAAATTTAATAGGAAAAATAGGTCACTAAAAATATGTTTAGAGTGATTTTTTAAAAGTATTTCTAAGAATTATTTTCTCATTAGTACTCTAAAAAAAATAATATTTGGAACCACCCCACCACTACCTCTACCATCACCACCCCCATCGCTCAACCACCATCACTGCCCCACCACCACCTCCACCGCCCCACCAGTACCATCCCCACTACAACCATCACCACCACCACCATCACACCCTATCATCACCACCATTATCGCACTTTACCACCATCGCCACTGTCCCACCATCACACCTACCGCCCCCACCGTCACCCTTACAACCATCGCCAACCCACCACCGCTACCCCCACCCTCACTGCCCCACCGCCATCATCGTCATCCACCATTGATTGCTACCATCTTCGTCCACTACCACCACCATCATCATCTTATTTTTATATTTATTACCTTTACCACCATCATCTCACTACCACCGTTAGCACCCACTACTACAATTGTTGCCCACCGTCACCCACTACCACAACCCACCAGCAACCATCGCCACTAGTCACTATCACCCACCCCCACTACACTTACCATTATCGTTCGTCATCATCCACCATTGCAGCCACCCATTATCACCTACCCTCACCATACTTACCACCACCGTCATTCGCCATCACTCATCACACTGTCACCTACCACCACCATCTTCAACGCCCACCAATACCATCGTTGTCCCACCACGACCACTACCAACAACCATTACCATCATCCACTGACTTGATCTAAAATGTGTACACCCAAGTACAGGCGATCAAGTTATAGTAATAATCTGGTTAAGTTCAAAGTCGAATCCATAGAGAACTATGATTGGTGTTTTGAAGTAAGCAATAATAGAAACAAAGTAACTGGAAAGTTTGAGAGTATGGAGTGGTGGATTTCTTGAATAGAATAGAAGATTTTTTTCAAGAGTTTTTTAGACAAAATATAAGATAAATTCAAATGTAAAACAGACACCCTTTAACTTGAGGATCAGAACATGTGGTTAATCATCTGATTTATTATACTTGTGTTTTATAACTCAATTAACTCCCGTGTCAACAGTAAGTTAATCGAAAAATAAAGATGGACTATGAGAATTAAGCACATGATTCCGATGTCTTTCTAGAAGTGGACAAGAATTGTCTGTGCTGAAATTTAATCCGTCTACATATAAGCAAGTGTTTCTACAAGACATCCAACCATGGCATTAATGTTCCATTCTTTAGATAAAACACGATAATAGTGAAGATTGAAATGTATAATGCAGATATAGCCTAGATGCTTGCCTTGAACCAACAGGTTTTTCCATGCAAGAGTCATCCGTGACATAGAAAGAACTCATGGTTATACAAAGTACCTTAGCTTTGCTAGATACATTCAATCATTCCATGAACAAGTGAAATATAAAGCATTAAAGCATAAATAGATTGCACAAATATAACTTATGGATAATCAATACATGTTCATCACCTCTTACTAAAGAGTGAATGAAGAACTACTCACTCTTCATGACTTGAGTAAAGCTAGAAAAGTGAGTGATACTCATCCCTCCAAGTAGAAAACTTGCAAGGTAAAATGCAATAAACGAAGAGCCGATCTTCATCAAAGAATAAATGAATTACTGTTCCCCCTTCACGGCTTTGGTAAAGCTCTAAAAAAGTGGAAGAGTTTCACTCCTCTAAGGTGGAAGAGTTTCACTCCTCTAAGGAAGAAGAAAGCTCAAGCAATGGAAGTGAAAGAAATAAAGAAATTAGAAGAAAGCTAGTTACTTTAGGAGGGTTTTCACCACTACCAAAAGATGAGCTATCTCTCTTGATACTTGTAAATAAAAGCAAGTACAATTACAAGGGGAGTCTAAGCCTCTATCATGGTTGTCATAACATGAATGTAAAAACTTAGCACAAATAAATAAAAGACTTCAACTACAAGGGGAGTCTTCGCCTCCATCATGGTTGATACAAATGCAAAATAAAAACATAAACAAAAACTATACAAACTAGCTCTCTACTCTACAAGAGAAAAGGTGCCCATGAAGCTCCCTTAAGGGGAGTATTTATAGACAAGAAAAGGGAGGGGGGTGAAGGAATAGTGTTTGTCGGCCAAGTCCAAGTGAAAAGCCAATAACTTAGCAGCCAGTCAGTGGGGGACGTTCGAACGTAATCTATCGTTCAAACGTTGTGTCTGTTTTTGCTTTAGGGGCGTTCAAATGTTAAATGTCATTCGAACGTTGTCTCTGTCTTTGCTTTAAGGGCGTTCGAACGCCATATGGGGTCTAAACCGCCTACTCAAGTGGCCTATGGTCTCTGTGATGGTTACTTCCATACGTCTTGAACAACTTTGACCCTGCACTCAGATACTTGGTCCTTAGTAACTCAAGACAACGTTTGAACATGGAGTGGCTTTTGAACGTTGTACTCAAGTACTTATGTGGTTCTTCTTTCTTTGCTGCAATACGCCAACAGGTATTAGTAGTCTAATCTTCTCAGGATTCCAGAGCACGTTCGAACGTGAGTGGGCGTTTGAATGTGGTACTCAAGTACCTCAATATTTTTCTTTTTGACTGCAACATGTCATGTCTCAGCAGCTTGGTCCTCAATCATTTTAGGGGAACGTTCGAACGTTGATCCACGTTCGAACGTTATTGCTTTGTGCCAAGCTTTTTCAATTTTGCCCCTTAATTTGTTGGTGTTGCATCAAAGTGTGATATTTGTTATCATTGAGCTCTTATTCACTGTAGGACCTGAAATGTCATTACTTAAACTCCATCAAAGCACAATTAGTCCCAAAAAGGCATAGTAAAATGCTAACTTTAAGCACTAACCATCCACCACCACCATCGTCACCCACGACTACCATTACCATCATCGTCACCCAAAATCCACCATCATCATCACCGTTGTCACCACGACTGCCACCCATGACCACGGTTGTCATCAAAATTTGATAACAACTTTATAATTGTTTGTCCTAGTTGATATTGCCTCTACCCATTTAGAAACATAATAAAATGTCAGCAAAATGTAAAGATAAGGGAAAAGGACCCATAAAATTGATGCCCCGACAATCAAAAATCTCAATGACAAGAATAGGGTTAAGAGGCATCATATATCTCTAGGTCACACTACCTAACCTTTGGCAACTATCACAACTCTTGCAAAACTAGAAACAATCTTTGAACAAGCTAGACATCATATGTCATGTTGCTTGCCATCGGGTATAAACCTTCTCATCACATGATCAAAACAATATTTAAATAAGTAAGGATCAACAAAGAAAAACTTCTTCACTTCAACCAAAAAATTTCTTCACTTCTACAGACTTTTTTGAAAACCTTCACAAGATAAAACTCGTTCACTAGGGATCACTAAGGGGTTTAAAGGCTCATTGCATAGGCTAAATGTAATTGTGATTGCCAATGAAAATGGTTTGTTTTTACTTAGTTTTTAGGTTGTGCTTTTAAATTCCAAGGCATGAAATTTTGGATTTTAATTGAATCAAGTTTTATTGCATAATTTTTAGGAATTGGGCATGAAATTGGATCATTGGGTTCTTGATTAGGTATTAGTCAAGTTTAGGTTTTGTTTTATAGGAGAAAGAAGAGAGAAGAAAAAAATTGAAAAGAGAAAGAAATTGGAAATTTTTGAGAAATTGTAGCGTTTTACCGATAGATGTTGGAACAGTAAGTCGTTCTACCGATAGATGTTGGAACAGTGGGTAGTTCTATCGGTAGGTTGTGGATTACCTACCAGTAGGTGGAAGATGTGAGACATTAAAACGAGGGTTTTTTTGGGATTTCCATAAGATTTCTTCAAACAAAAAAATTCCCTCTCACTCTAAGCACTCTCCCTCCCCTCGATAAACCCTAGGAAACCTTTCCTAAAACTTGGGCATCAATTGATTTCCCTTATTGCCAAAATCTCCTACATTGATTTTGGATCGATGGCATATCAAGGTATTGTGAAACCATCCCTCTTTGAGCCTATTTCTTTGTTTTGGTTTTTGATTGTATTTTGGGTATGATAAGGGTTGTGCTTTAGGGAATGGCTTGTACCAAGAGGCCCACTATAGTTGAATAGAAGAAAAAAGGGAAAGGAACACCGGTTACACAAACCTCAGTTAGGCCTCAAAAGAAGAAACAGAAGGTTGACCACTTGACCTCCATTGATACAAAAAATGTGACTTGCGAGAGGCAAGTGGATAAACATAGTTTGGAGTTTTTCTACATTGTGTAGCAGATCAGTAAGCAAGGACTGGAGGTTTGGTTTGGTGAGAAGAAGGATTTTGGATTGGCATTGTGTAAGGAGTTCTACAAGGAACTCAATGTTGTTGATAGTAGTCTACAACTTCTTAAGACCACAGTGTAGGGAATGGTCATTGAGGTGATGCCCTTGACTGTGGCTGAGATGCTAAATTATAAGAGGCCACTCCCTGCTATCATTACATACCCTAGCTCTTATTTTATGGCTAATACCTCAACTGAGTATGCTGAGCTAATGTATGAGGAGAGCAAAACATTTACTAGAAAGGTGGCGGTGGGGAGCTTGAGTGAAGAGTATCGACTAGCTAACAAATTTTTACACTATAATGTGTATCTAAAGGGATCAGAGAAGGAGCTAGGTGTGGATTAGTTGGCTCTGGTGTATGAGTTTATGAAGGGTCCTCACATTGATATAACATTAGTGATGTGGTATGTCATGCGGGAGTTTGCAGCTACTGTGAAGCCCAAGATGAACATGGCTTTCGCTTATATGGTGACTAGGATGTGTTTTAGAGCCAAAGTTAATAATACATTGGAGGTTTTGTTGTGGCTTGTAGAAACAAGACCCATTGGCCATCACAACAAGAGCTAGAGTGACACTATGTGTAGGGGTATGGGAGTCGAAGAGGCCACCATTTCAGACCAACCTACTACTACTACTCGCCCTACTGTTGCTGCCATTGAGATAGTGTCATCCACCTCGAGAATGACACTAACTCAAAGGGTTAGTAGGCTAGAGGAGTAGATGGAAGATGAGGAGAGGTATACTACTGAGACTAGGTGGGCAGTAGAGAGGTGTGAGGGGTAGATGGACTAGTTGATGAGGGGGATGTAGAGACTGTAACGCCCCAAAAACCACCTTGGAAGACATTACAATTTGAAACCATTCAGATCATGAATATGATCCATAAATAAATAAGATTTCATTCATCATTCATAAAATTTACAACATTATCCCAAAAGAATATGCACATTATGACACTTACATCTCAAAAATTTAACGATCATAACGCAACGAAATTACAAAAGAAAGCTAGACTTTAAAATATTTCAAAAATAAATTTTCTAGTCTAGAATAAAGATAATGTTGCTCTAAGCGTCCACCTGGGATCCACGTTCCCTTCTATAGAAGTCTCTCAGTGTGTCAGTTCATCCACTCCTAACTCCTCCTCTATGACATAATCTGAAAAATATTATTTGTAAGGGGTGAGCACTAAGCTTTGTAGCAACTTTTCTCCCATACTCGGACAAGGTTTAGAAAAGTATATAAAGACAGTCGGTCACCTTTCACAAATAACATATATGAATTTTGAAATAAAACAGGGACAATTTAACAGAACTCAAGTTTAAGTAATAACAGTAACTTAATGCATAAGTGGAACCAATATACAACTAGTAACTCATTCCACCATAAATTGTTTCTCTCAAGTTCTTGCAGAATCTTATACTTCCCAAGATTCTTGTAGAAATTATTTCTGGTACAATGATCAATAACCCACCACTACGATATACGACTAATAATCCATTCCACCATAAACCGTTTCTCCCAAGTTCTTACGGAATCTCACACTTCCCAAGATTCTTGTAGAAACCATTTATAATACAATGAACAACAACCCACCATTGTATTTGTATCTCAGGTATGAAGTAAGATCTAGCATGGTCACCATCGAAAGCATCATGTCCCACATATCCATAAACACAAATTCTCGCAAGGATATCCAACCTTTGGGAAGGGCGTGTGCCAACACAATGGCAGTGACGAATCCAACCCAGACATTAGTATACTAATCCTCTGACATGGAACCCGTGAGCTAATAGTGGTTTGATCCTTGCAAGGCACCAACCCCACTACGAGTGGTAGGATATGTCCAAACCCGCACAGAATAAGAAGACGTCTACCCACTGCATGATACCCGGTCAATCATAGCCCATGTTTATCCAAACAACCACATAAGAGATACAATACCAACAATTCCATCAATAACAAACTATTTCCAAAACTCCCAATTCCATGGGTATTTCCAAGAGCACAAGTAATTTCAACAATCCCCAAATTTACACATGTATCATTTTAATAAAACATTGAAGAAAATGCAAGAGATCATCATCAATATCATTTTATTACTCAACACAAAGCACTAAGATTTTAAAATCAAAGAACCAAGAAAGAATCAAAAGGAAAATCCATCACTTTTGAAAACTAGGGTTTTAAATCAAGAAAAAGAGATTTCATGGGTATTCAACTCTAACTTTGTTTAAAACATGATAATAATTGCAAGAAGACCAAGAAACAAAGAACTCATAGCAAATACATAAGATTAGGAGTCAAAACATACATATATATTAGCCCTAGCATCAATGGACAAGAATGGAAGAAAACCCCTATCTTGTAATCAAGAATTTCAAATCAAAAGCCCAAGTTTTGAAGACCTCGTTCCTCCCTTTTCTTTCTCTCTTTATCTTCTCCTAGGGTTCTAAGAGGTGTGGGGTGAGAGTGAAATGAAAGAATGGGACAAATGGGGTTTTAAAATATAAAAATCCCAATTTTTTTACTGTTTGTCAAGCTTTAAATAAAGCATACCGATACGCAGTACCAGTACTGTTTAGTCTTTGGATTTGGGCGTACCGGTACGGTTTAACTGACATATTTTTGCTCCAACTTCCAGTACAGTTTTGGCCAATTTAGAGGTTGAATTGAAAAATGTTCGTGAAATACACTTTTATAGCCCTTGAAGTCTACTATCTACTGTCAAACTTTTAGATCAAATGGACTTCATAATAAAAAGGTATGATCAAAATACTAGGCAGTGTCCAAGATCCTTTTTACCCAAATTCTCTATAAAGTGTGCTTTAACTCCGAAACACTTTCTAACTTATAATACACTCCATATTACTTATCCCAAGGTTTCTTGACCTTCCAGATTCAATGAAAATCTTATTTTAACCTAAAAATATTTTGAACTTACCTAACAACCTCTTCCAAGCTTAAATACCTTCACAACTTAAACTTCATAATCAATTTATCTCCCAAATATTTATTTCTGCCGTTATAATCTATGTGGTTCATTCTTACGTCATTACATATATTAGAATTACTAAAATTATATCATTATATTAATATAAACATGTGGGGGTTTATAGAGACTTCTAGAACATACTTTACGTAGAGAGCCTATTCCACTAGTTTCAGCTTCTGCTCAGGATGATGTGATTTTGGGTGTGGAGAGTAGTGAGTCTGGAGAGAGTAGTGAGTTTGGAAATGATGATGAGGATTCAACAAAGGGAAGTGGTGACGTTGTTGCCTGATGTTTTCTTTTTTCATTTAAGTTTTAAATTTTTAGAATTGTTAGAGTCTAAGTAGAAGATTTTGTTGGAGTTTAGGGTTTTAGAGTAAGGAATTTTGTATAGCCTAAATAGAAGAATCTATAGGAGTAGGCTACATTTTTCTTGAGTCAATGTAAGGGAAATAAATGATGAAAATCAATGGAACACATTAGTGAAATCAATTATTAAAATAAGTGGAACACATCTTTTGGATTCTGTGCCTTGTGTCCTTTTAACTTATGCCTTATGATTTGATTATGTGGTTACTCTCTTGCCTTGGATCTTTTAAGTTTTGTTCTATTAGTTTTGTAGTTTAATGTTGCTAGGGACTAGCAAAGCCTAAGTTTGGGGGTGTGTTGAGACTTCAATATTGCATTATTTTATAGCTTAGCATATTCACTTGAGGTTTGCTAGTGTAATGATTTGCTTTATTTAGTATAGTTTGTGTGTTAAGCGTTAATTTCTATGTTGCAGGTATTTTAAATGTGAATGTGAAGAATAAGCATTGATTTAATGGCTAGAAAAGAGTTGGGATTAAGTTGTTTGAGATAGGATGAAGCTGAGGCCTTGGAGATAAATTTAAGAAGAATAAAAACAGTTCTACCAGTAGAAAAACTCACAGTACTTTGAACTTTTTTATCAGAGAAGTACTACCAGTAGGTGGAAAATAGTCTACCGGTGGGAAATGTTGCAGTACTTTTGTCAGAGAAGTCCAACTGGATTTCTATCAACAGCAAAAGCCATAGTACTTTTAGAAGTTTCATTAGACAGATGTTCTACCGATAGGTCGGGCCACAAAAGGAATTTTTACTGGTATTTGGAAGATATTCTACCGGTAGGTCGAGACAAATTTTAATGGGAAACTTAACTAAAGAGCAGATCTTGCAATTTCTTTCAGGAATTCTCACCCAATTGGAAGAGGAGATAATTTTGGGAAAGATATGTACCGAAGATCTGAAGATTCTCCTTCCAATCATGATAAATAGAAGACCTTTTTGGGAAAACCATATCACATTTTGAAGTTTTCTGAAGTTTTTCCTCTAGTTTATTGTTTTAGAGAATGTTAGGTTTTTCTTGAGAGTTCTAGCAATCTTACATTCAATTTTCTTTAATTTCAGAGTTTGTTATTTAAATTTAGTTTTTCAATGTAAGCAATTACTTTCAAGTCAATTTCTACTTTCATGAATTTAATTATGTCATCTTTAATTTCCTGTGTTATTTACATTACAATGAGTGAGTAGTCTTTCTTTGGATAATTTGAAGAAGGATTCCCAACCTATGAATTAGGGTTATACTCTAAAGTAGGGTTTTAACGTTTATGTGATTGTTTGATTAAAGTTGTGTTTCCGAAAACCTATTTGGTTAGCATACTTCTCGATTACCTATATAAATTGGTTTTTGTATGGGTAATTAGTGGTGTCTTCTACAACTAGTAGAGTACTAATTATTTCATCATAAACTCTCTCTCAATTACAATTTGTGATTCTTTTCCAAGTTTTTAGTTGAAAATCATCTGTTTGTATTAGTTTGAATATGAAATCAAATGAATTATAAATTTAGAGTAGAAACTCTTGTTCATAGGTGGGATGAATTCTGAAGATTATCTATTTTTCCAATTATTGAATTTCATTTTCATTAGTGATTAATCTCAAAATTCTTAACTTCAAAGAAATTTCTCTTTTTATTTTTCATCACCTTGGAATCCAATTCTTTTCTTAAGGAGACGACCTTGGACTTTTTATTTGAGTTACTACATGATACTTTTCTCTTATGCTTGGGAGCTTTCGAGAAAATACAACCCCTTTGGAGGGTAAACATACACCTCTGGAATGTTCATGGAACATTGCATAATCCAAATGGCATTCGTCGATAAACAAATGTCCCAAAGGGGCAGTGAAAGTGGCCTTCTCTTGGTCCTCTAGAGCAATTTCTATCTGGTTGTAGCCTAAATATCCATTCAAGAAGCA